CTTTCGTCCGAGACTTACATTTCAAGTCAGACTTACTTTCGTCCGAGACTTACATTTCAAGTCAGACTTACTTTCGTCCGAGACTTACATTTTAAGTCATACTTACATTAATATCAAACTTATATTAACCTACGACTTACTTTTATTCCCAGACATCTTGATCCACACTGACATTGAAAACCACTCATACATCTAAAGCCACTCAAACATCTAGATCCACTACGACATGGAAATCCACTCAAACATAATTTTTGCTCTCTAACTACATTTTTATATGATTTTACAACCTAAATTTTCTTCTTTACCTAAAGATTATTCGCAATATCTGAATATCATTAATTAATTGAGATATTCAAGTTTTGACAGCGGATTTGGAAAGCAGACTTGATGGAGATTTTAAATCTGATGTCAAATCTTGGTTTTGTGCATTATTGGAAGAGAAAAAAGGGTGTTAATTGCAAATCTTAAATATAGGTTTTTACGAAAAATGTAATTAGGGTTAGAATCATAGAAAGATATATCTGTCAGACATTGTTATGTGTGACAGATAATATTGCATCTCATAGACACTGTTGCATCTGTCAGACACTGTTAAATTTCATAGACACTGTTGCATCTGTCAGACACTGTTGCATCTGTCAGACACTGTTGTATCTCATACACACTGTTGCATCTGTCAGACACTGTTGCATCTCATAGACACTGTTGTATCTCATAGACACTGTTGCATCTCATAGACACTGTTGTATCTCATAGACACTGTTGTATCTCATAGACACTGTTGCATCTCATAGACACTGTTGCATCTCATAGACACTGTTGCATCTTTCAGACACTGTTGCATCTGTCAGACACTGTTGCATCTATCACTTACTTTTGCTTCTGTTAGATACTATTGTATCTCTCAGACACTCTTGCATCTCTCAGACACTATTCCATCTCATTAACACTGTTGCATCAGTCTCTCACTGTTGCATCTTTCATTGACTTTTTTATCTCTCAGGAAATATTTTATCTCTATAATATTTTTTATATCTCCCAAACTTTTACATCTTTCTGATTAATTTTTTTATCCTTTTTCATTCTGTTCTGTATATCGAATCTTTATATAACAAATAATTAAATAGTTTCTCATATTTATTAACTGTTTTTATAAACAATAATCATACACATTTTATTCATATAAATATTTTTTTCACAAACCATTTTTCCTCTTCCTTCTTACAACAAAATCTGGATCTCTTTCCTTGTCTTTATTAGGCAAAATCGCAACCGAATTTTTAAATCTCGATCGCAAAGAAAAATTTCGATTTTTTATAAAATCGCGAACTTCTGAAAAATTGCGAACAGAAAAAAATCGCGATTGTTTTTGAAATCGCGTTTTATTAGAAGTACGCGATTTTATAAAAAATCGAAATTAGATTAAAATATAGCGTCTAAAACCAAATTGCGAACAAGTTATGTATTGATTAAGAAAAATATATTTAAGATGAAGAATTGCTTGCTATGATGTACTGATTCATGATCAGTACATCATAGCAAGCAATTCTTTACATGAAGTTCGAAAACTTGGGTGCAATCAGATCTGATTGCACCCAAGTTTTCGAACTTTGTATAGGGAATTAAAGGGTGAGAGATATATAGTCTATCTATATATCTCTCACCCTTTAATTCCACCTCTGTAAGCGATAAAATTTTATCAAATATTTTATACTACGAGAAATTATGGCTTTGTTTCAGAGACGTATTGAATTTACCGATTGTGTTAAAATGAGATCGCTTAATCTTTAAATTTATTAAGTTAATCAAATTTTTGATTAAACGCAACGCTGTTTTGTGAAATCAAAACGATAAATATTCAATGCAAACGCACCTGAGCTATGTTCCTTTATTGCAGCCATTAAACATTTGTCTGGCTCACAATTTGAGAGCACTTCACCTAAATAATGCTATAATGAAAATTGAATTAATAAAAATCGTTTCTTCAAATAAACTTCACAAATATATTATCATTATGTGAATTTTTACTTATAAAATTAAATACATATTTAGTTTCTAGTTTTTTTTTCTATTGTCATTCAAAATATAGCTACAAAACGAAGAACCATAATTTTGATAAACACTAAATGATAATATGATTTATAATATAAATAAAATATTTTCAAGTCCAATAAATCAAAATTGATATTTTTAAAAAAACTAATTAAGAATTCAGTGATAATTTTATCAAATATTACAAGACAATATGATTTATAAGCAGAATAAAATGGGGAGAAGCTTCCTAAACTTTTTAATCCCATAAATATGGTCATTATCTGGAATAAAGAGTTAAGCGTCATATGTCACTTTTTGTACTAAGGAAACATCGACTTTATGCGTTATGACTTTTCGATGAGGAAACAAGTGTTCACGTATTATAAACTTCCTTATTCCAATAAACCGACCCTAAACATAATTAATTCTAAGCATGATAATGGTCTCTTTTCTATGATAACCAAATCAATTTGGTTATCATAGTAAAGCACCAAAAACTGGAATAGGAATCGGCAATATGGAATCATGAAGCAACTCGGATAAAATAAATATGGAACATTCATACATCCATTCCCTATTTTTAACCATATTATATTTTCAAACAAAATTCTCGTACTATTTTCAATAAAATTTGCATAACCTTGTTATTACTCTTAGGCGAAAGATGATTTTAATGTTAATTTTATAGAAGAACTTTTAATGCATAATAAAATAACCCTTTCCTATAAATTTAGACTTAAAACGGTGACAATAAACAAGCTTTAGTCTAGAAATTAATTTTCTACTACTATAAATGCATCTTTATCTTTAATTAGAAAAAAATTTATCAATTTTATTATCCAGATGAAAAAAGAAGTGACATATGATATTTTATCTAATTTAAAATCTTTTATTGATTGTTTTTAAAAACTTTGCATTTTGTATGAGTATTTCATGTTTAAATCAGTATAAATACGCAAAATACTTATGAAATTCCAGCTGTTATTCAGTACTATTCATTTTTCAGCAATCATTAACTGTGGAAGAGTATGGCAAACGTTCGATAATGATCATGTATACTCAGATCATCAAGAATGAATTAAAGTCAATGCAGGGAAATGGATAATCCGATTAAAAACCCCAAAAAGGAAAAAGATATTATATGAACGTCTCACAAATGGTTAGTACTAAGCTCTTTCCTGATGATTGAATATTCTTTCATATTTTTGTATATTGTAAGGGATTTTCTCCCCAAATATATAATACCTTCCTTATAAACGATCTACTTTCTTTGAATACAAGTATAATTTTACATTTTAGGAAAAAATTTATTTTTTCAAATTTATCTTATAACAATAGAGATTTATATATATGTGTGTCAATATAGGCTTTAGTGGTATAAAATTGGGTAGATTTTGTTTTATTTTGAGTAAAAAATTCAAAAAATACTACCTCATTTTGCGTGCAAAGGAATAGTCAGAGCTATTTAATAACATTTTACGAATGAACTATGGAATTACTATAACTTTTGAAGAAATTTCAAAGTTAATAGAAGATTGTATTTTAGAAATCAGCTAAAAGAATGATGTGCATACATCAAGCGTTAAAGTATCCTAATCAGAATATAGTAATATACAATGATTAGCAAAGCAGATTTGAATCGGCAAGAAGAGTTGCTTAAAAAATCAGTTGAGTCTTCTCTAGTTTCCACACTGCCTATTCCTGTTTAAGTGCGGTTATTCCTATTCCAGTTTTTGGTGCTTTACTATGATAACCAAATTGATTTGGTTATCATAGAAAAGAGACCATTATCATGCTTAGAATTAATTATGTTTAGGGTCGGTTTATTGGAATAAGGAAGTTTATAATACGTGAACACTTGTTTCCTCATCGAAAAGTCATAACGCATAAAGTCGATGTTTCCTTAGTACAAAAAGTGACATATGACGCTTAACTCTTTATTCCAGATAATGACCATATTTATGGGATTAAAAAGTTTAGGAAGCTTCTCCCCAATATTTATTATTAAATTTGAAAAAACACTTTTTTTATAAAAAAAAATTCGGGCTATTTATCTTATATATATATTATACAATGATTTGACATATATAGTATAATAGAAATATCATAAAAACTAACATCCATTCGAATATAATAAACAGAAATTCATCAAAAGTGACAACTCTCAATTTTTTGACATTTGTAAATTCTAAATTGAATGAGAAAAATGAAATAATACTAAGCATAATACAATATTCTAGATTTAATTATAATTAGGAAAAAGTTAGTTTTGAGAGTACTTTTCATAGGCATATAGAATGAAATCTTCTGAAAAATAATATCACATATACTCATATTATTTTCTAATATAAGGTTGCAAAAAGCGGGGAACGATACAGAAATTGAGAGAACCCGGCCCCTTAAGCGAGAACCCAGCACGGGGAAATGAACGATATAAAATGTAGTTTTTTCCTTATTTTTATCTCAATTTTTAATTTTTGAGAGGAAAAATTCAAGAAAAATATAGAGTTTAACGAGAAAAACATATGTATTTTGAGTACTCTTTCTATATTTTATTAAACAAAGAAATCAAAAATTCTCCGCTACGCGGCAATATTTTTGGAAACCCACTTTTCTAACCGTGGGTTAACTTAATTTTTTGAGAACTTTGAGAGGAAAACCGAACCCATTTACGGCTGGAGCGTTATATCTCGCTATCCAATCTTTTTCAGACCGTTAGAATTGCACATTGACCGCCGGGTTACCGAACCCACATCCATTAGTGCAATTTCCAATTCGGTTTAAGATCATTTTATTCTATAGCAAAATTCATGATAATATCATCGGAGCAAATTCAACAAAATAAAACTCGATTGTTTAATGAAATTACAAATTAAACCTTCCAGATGACAGAATTATATCAATTTTTACAAAAAATTAAGTTATTCAAGGTAGTAAAAAAGAAGTATTAGTAATAAAATGAATATTTACTTAGATTTCTTTTGATTACGGCGTCGTTTTGAATTGTAAATGTACAAGAAAATCATTTTCGCTTTGACCAATGCTTCTGATGCACGGCAACTAAGGGAATCAAAATGATGCTTCTGATAAGAGAATAACCTTTCAACAGCTGCTTCCGTTGCTGCAGCCGATAATAATTTCACTGCAATACGTGCTAGCTCTTTCCATTTCTGGTTGTTGACTAATGCTTTCCAGAATTTATACGGATCTGGTTCACTCAAATCGAAGCTGTTTCTGTGTAATCCATATTTGATCCATTTTCTGTACTGAGCAAGGAGATTTACATATTGCGTGTCATCGTAATCTAAAGAATGTGCAATCTGGTATAATGCGATTGACATCTTATCTATCGAGTTACCTGATAAATCACAAAGACCTTCATAATCTGTTTTTCCATCTTCCTGTGGATTTAATAAAGCTTGAGGAGTTAATCTCAGCTTATCATTGCGATATGGCTGTCTTTGTGCAAGCTGTGGATGCAAGACTGAATCAAAAGTGACTCCATCTTCAGGGCCAAACTGGCCATCGTGAAAATCTGACGATGAGGTATCGTCAGATCCGTTAGTATTATCTTCATTTTCTGTAGATTCGTTAGTATTTTCATCGTCCGGATCGTTAGTATTTGAATGATTTTGGTTTGCTGCAATATAATTGTCAATTTCTTGATCTGATATAGGTTCTACGGCTGTAACCGATTGGTAGCCTTCCGGAATAACTTCTTCAAATTCTGCAATTTCTTCCTCTTCGTGATAATCCTCATCAGTTGAAGACTCACCATCAGATTCTTCGAAGATATCCTCTTCTTCTTCGACTAATGGCTGATATTCAGCATTCGGGTCATTTGCCCTTTCTTGATCAAGGGTCTCTCCAAATGCGATACAGTCTGGTATACCTTTAATTACATCACGAACTAGTTCTCCTTCCATAGGGTAATTCGGATATACAAATTTCGCGATGTTGGATTCAACGTCTTTTTCGGAAGCTAAATCCGGAAATGCTTGGCGAAGTTGTTCTCTTCCAGTAAAGGTCAGTGAATTTGCGAGTTCAAGCAGTCCTCTGTTGCCAGTTCCTTCAAATCTGGCCAAAATACGCATTTGAAGGTAAACTTGGGCGCTCGAAGCTTCAGCTACAATATCATGAATCCTTTCGTGGTATTTCTCTTGAGTAAATTCAACATAGAATGCATTGGAAAATTCATCAGATGCACGGCAATACTGCACAAGAAGATCAATAGTATTTGCAGCAGTCGTTTCATCTCTCTCGAGGAGATGGACCAACTCGTAAACTGGATAGAATATGATGAAAAGACAAGGCAAGGCAAACTCCAAGAGATATCGTAATGGACCAAGAACATCTTGTATTGCATCCTTTAACCGGGCCGGAGTTTGGTATGTCAGCTTTTTCAACGTTTCATAATGCTTGACAAGCCATAAAATGATATCAAATTCACTTGTCCATCTTGTTTTTACGTAGAGTGGACATTCAACTTTGAAGTTAACAACGAACAGGCTTAGAGCGGAGAAAAAGTGAAATCTTATTCAGATTTTCAAATACTGGAAATTCATGTTCCATTGAATAGTCTTCAACAAATGACTTAACTGCCAAGGAAAGGGTATGCGCTGCACAAGGGATTCTGAGAAATCCGTCTGTTTGAACAAAATTGTGATCACATGCAAGGACTTGAGCAAGCAAGTTGTCAGTTACAACGGTTCCAAGTTTTATTCCATTTGAGGCCAACATTGCCAGAGCATCACGAATGGCACGATCATAAGAATCTGTTGTTCCGTCAAAGCCGGTCTTGATATCCAACGGAAAAGGATAACCATCATGTACCGATGGGTTATAAATCATTAAGTCAAGAGTCGGCCTACCACATGCAGTTCCAGCATCAATTAAGAGGGATACAGTATGGTCGAAGTAATCTGATAGACTTTTTTTGGCTGCTTCTTTGGAATCTTGCAAAAATTTTTCTGTAAGTTGAGCTCGGTTTATAGACTTGATTATATCATTAATTTGATCCTTCTTCTTCAATGTCATTCCTACTTCAAGAATGATTTCCACAAGATCACGGAATGAATCAGAAGATATAGCATTAAAGGAAATTTTGTTACAACCAATAAAAATCTCAATAGCTTGAAGAACCTTCTCTTTTGAAGTGAGAACTTTATCAAAATCGATAAGTTTTGTATAATAGCAAGTGTGGTCTGCTATTAATTTATTATCATTGTAGGATTCTAAATAAAATTGATGTAGACATTGCTTCCCTTCTGCATTTTTTGTAGCGCATCGAACAATTTTATGATGAGAGTTAGATTTAACTGGCACATATCCTTTAGGTATTTCATTAGGAACACCTGTTGGCATGGACCAAGTTTTATCATATCACATGTCAATTACATTTTATCGTTATCATTTCATATCACATGGCTGTACCCCCAATAAATTCTTTTCCCCGGCATTTGTAAAGTAACCCACTTTTTGCAACCTTATCTAATATATAACTATTTTATATAAAAATCAAATTCAATGATCTTAAAAGCGAATGATAAACCTCAAAATTTACGAATATAATGAGTGGGAATATAATGCTTATCTATCATAAAACCATATGAAATATTAATTTTTGCTTTACGCCTAATTTTTGACGACAATTAGCAAAAAATGTTAAATGTTAACACTCAGTCCATTTGAATATGAAAAATAAAATTGACTTTGATTAAATGTTTTTATTTATCATGCAATTCTTCTTGCGACCAAAGATTTGAATAAAACTTAAAAAAATAAGATAGCTTAAAAAATAAAAAAAAAAAAAAAAAAAAAAAAAGGTAGTGGGGCTTCCAGGCACTTCGTGCCTTCTAGCCCTGAAGATGTTTAGTATAAATGAAGTCTTAGAGGACAAACATGACTATGAGTTTTGATATGACAAGATAGAATATGAGAGAGGTCCTATAAACCGGAGAAAGTGTTATATAAACATCTGTCATATTACTCAGAATATTATACAGAATTCAATAAAAATATATTTTAGGTGAAGAGGTGAGATTTCACCTGTTTTTTCACCTCATTTTTCACCTCTTGAATTTTCATGAATTTCATCGTAAAGACTTTGTCAAGATTTCATCGTAAAGACTTTGTCAAGATTTCATCGTAAAGACTTTGTCAAAACTTCATCGTAAAGACTTTGTCAAAACTTCATCGTAAAGACTTTGTCAAAACTTCATCGTAAAGACTTTGTCAAGATTTCTTCGTAAAGACTTTGTCAAGATTTCTTCGTAAAGACTTTGTCAAAACTTCATCGTAATGAGCGTAAATCAGACAAAAATATATTTTAGGGTAGAAGGGTATATCTACCCCGTTTTCTACCCTCTTTTCTACCCCATATGTACTTACTGAAAAAGTATGTGTTCCATCTGTCATTTTACTCAGAATTTTACACCAAAAATAATGTTTAGGTGAAGAGGTGAGATTTCACCTGTTTTTTCACCTAATTTTTCACCTCTTGAATTTTCATGAAATTTACACCAAAAATAATGTTTAGGTGAAGAGGTGAGATTTCACCTGTTTTTTCACCTAATTTTTCACCCTCTTGAATTTTCATGAAATTTACACCAAAAATATACTACTAGGGTCATTTACGAAGAAATCTCACAAAGTCTTTACGATGAAATCTTGACAAAGTCTTTACGAAGAAATCTCAACAAAGTCTTTACGAAGAAATCTCAACAAAACATAGACAAGAAAGTTCATGAGAAATTAGATGAAGAAGTCTTAACAAAGTCTTTACGAAGAAATTCATGAAAATTCAAGAGGTGAGAAATGAGGTGAAAAAAGAGGTGAAATCTCACCTCTTCACCTAAAATATATTTTTGGGTCATTTACGAAGAAATCTCAACAAAGTCTTTACGAAGAAATCTCAACAAAGTCTTTACGAAGAAGTCACAATAAAGTCTTTACGAAGAAGTCACAATAAACATCTATCAAAAACCGCTTTTTAACTTCACTTAAAATGCCACGTAAGCTACGTAAGAATATACGTAAGAGGAAGAGAGCATTGAAACATCCAATAGTAAAACTGACACCACAACAACAATTGCAACAACAAATGCTGAATGACCCCACTATGTTGCAACAAATGTCAAGCAATCCTATGCTTTTAAACCGAGTCATTGGTGCACAGAGTGGAGGTTTAAGAGCGGCACTTTTAGCGAAAATGGCAGGCTATGGTGGAGCTGCAGACGGAACAGCATATAACCCTCAAAGTCAAATGAATTTGAGTTCACTCAAAAATCAAATAGCAGATGTCAAAAAGTCAAACATAGACATACAGAAGCAAATAGGTGAAAACGAAAAGAAACTAGAATATGACAGACACACAAAGAAACTCAATGAGTTAAACGTAGAGAAAAAGAAGAAAGAAGAACAACTGAAAGAACTAAGTACAGAGCAATATGCGAAAAAAGTGTCAGAAAAAGCAGCAGAAGTAGCAAAAATGGAACAAGATGTTATAAATTTGAAAAACCATACTACTCAATATAAAGTACTGAAAGATGAAGAGATAAAACAAAAAGCCCTGAAGACATATATGGATAGCGATGAGTATAAAAAAGAAGTTGAAGCAAATGTAAAGGCAGAAAAACTTTTACAGTTGCAAAACCAAACCGTACAGTATGAAAACTTAGCACAAGAAAGTAAAAATAACGACGCGGCTATGCAAAAGGCAATGAAAAGCGCAGAATATATAAAAGCTAACAATGACTGGTTAGATGCCCAAGCCAACGCTAAAGCAGCCCAACTCATAGGGTCAATAAGGACAAAAATACAAGCGGATGAAGATAGTTCAAATGAAGCTTTAACAAATGCTGACTTTAAGAACGCTTTCGAAGCTCTTCATAGTAAGGTGAAACAAGTGAACGACTTCTCATCTGGAAAGAAACTGAAGTCTGAAGGTTTCGACAAAGAGTTAAAAGAAGTAGCACAAAATATGACGAAAATAACAGATGCAGCAACGAGACAGGCAGTTCAAAGTGCCTATGACGCCGTTAGAGCAACTGTTGTGAAAAGTCAAGAAAAAGAGTTACAACAGACCAAAACAGACCTAGTAAATGCTTTCTTAAAAACGAAAAGTCAGGTAGGACATTACGCTGCAGATGGAACATATGTGCCAGCTGGTGGAACTTATATACCACCAAACCCTCCAAGAGAAGCACCTGCACCAGGACTACCTAGAACATTTACATCGTCACATGGACACAGACACAGGCATGCACAACAACCAGCACAACAACCACCTCCACAACCAGCACAACAACCAACACAACAACCAACAGTTCAAAACCCTGCACAACAACAACCACAAACAGAGCAAGGACATAAAAGAAGTAGAGAACAAGGAAACCAAGAATTCTTAAAAATGCTTAAAGAAGAGTGTGGTTTCCCAGATACTGTTGACTTTAGTGACAGATATAAAGAAGCTATTGGAAAGTTCAAGGATGGAAATACTGACCCGAACCTATTTAGCTTTATGGCTCAGCACCAAAACGGATATAATCTCAAACCTGGAAAATACAAGCTCGCTAAGGGATATGATTTAATAGCATATCATCCAAATGACATGGATGAATTTACTCCGAGATATTTGATGTCAGAGCTAAATGACAATTCAACTTTCGTCATGAAACGCGTAAAAAATAGAGACGGAACGAAAGAACAAAAGCTTATGAATGCGGATGACGTAGATAGGGAAATTGTTGAAAACGGTCTCGGAATATATGAAATGCCAGCAGATGAGGTACAAGAAACTCCACAGGAAGAAGTTCAGATACAACCAGACATGGAAGAAATAGTTCAGCAACAACAGCTAGAAGAGCCTGAAGGAAACGAACAAGTCCTTCCTTTGGAAACTAACTTCACAGAACTAGATGAAGATTTGGAACAGCCGAAAAATCTTGACCCTCAACAAGAGTATGCGGAGAATATGGAATATTTCCAAGAGTCTAAAAAAAATTCGGCTGACATAGTAGAAGAATATCGAAAAATGTTTGCCGACATACAAAAGACTCCAGCACCAGATGAAAATATTCAGCATAGAATGGAAGAACTGAAAAAAAATGTACACAAATACAACAACCCTTTTTACTTACGAGCATTTAACGTTCAATCTTCGGATGAACTCGGTGAAAATAAAAGGTTAAATTTCAAGAAAACATATAGAAATGAAACATTGTTTAAAGTTCATTCAGAACCTAACCAAGATGGAAACAAACCTACTTTTGTTTCTGCAGACGATGGAACTACAATGAGATGGGGTCATAAAGCTAATCCGGATAGGTGGTTCATAAACTTACAACCACAATTCCAAGAAGTTGTAGACGCAATGGAAGTCAATGGTGAACGAGATATAGCTGGTATTTTAAGCGCGGCTTTAATGCCATTGAAAGATATGAAACATGCAGATATTTTGGACCAGTATGAAATGAAACATGGCTGATGGAAATATAACACCTGACGTTCTAGAACATTTATCTCAAAGAACTACACAGAACCATAGAGATGGTATATTTGGTGAAGAGTTTAGAAAGAAAGTTAGGGAGGAGAAGGAAGAGAACCTATTGTACATGACCTTGCAAACGAAAGTTTACAAAATGTCATAAAAACTTACTTTGCAGACAATGAACCGAGAAGGGATGAATATTTAAGAAAACTCAAATGGACAGTACCAAATGAAATGTTAGTATTGAAAAACATGTTCCTTGACAAAATAAAACCAACTACAGAATAAACGACGCAAGACTGAAAGATTGGGTAGAAGCTTTCCCATTCACAAAAGATATAGTTGGTAACATGGAAAGAAAACCAGAATGGCTACAAAAACATATATTTGGAAACGAGCATATTCCATATGGACAGGCACTGTTTGAGAGCTTGAACCGGAAACTCAGGAAAGAGTCATGCAAACAATACGCGAAGACTCAAATACAAACTATGACAAACTCTTTCTAGGATATAGGTTACCTGAGATGGGCGACCAGAGCCAAAAGGCAAAAAGGACATGGGAAATTTGCAACATACTAGATGAACATAATGCAAAGATGCAACAACTTCAAGCAGAGGGCAATGAAGGAAAAAGAAGAGTTAAAAACTCAGTCAGGAAGAAAGTAAAGCTTGGTCCACGTGGGTTCTATTATGACATATAAATCCAACTATTCTATATTTTTACTCATATGAAATGTACGCCGCTCAGAATATAACGCCAACAGTTTTGGATGCCATGAATGGAAATGTTTCCGAATGGTATAACGAATGCGACAATGCCATTAGAAGGTCAGAAATAGTTCCTGGAACTTACGAATATACAACTGCTGTTTCTTATGGAAACGTAGGTGAGTTTGGAGAAGGTTCTTCAACAACAGTAGATATTGCTTGCGACAGGTTTCATATAATTTCTATTGACAACTCTTTCTTATACGTGGAACAAGACATTGAAATAAAAACCTTCTGCCAAGTTGTCTGACAAGAAAGGTTGCAATGGAATTTTCTATGTCGGATACCAATATGCTCCAGAAGTTTTCATGGATATAAGATATATTCTAACTCTGACTTAGTTCAAACAGTAACATGGGCAAACTATGAATGGTTCGCTTTGAGAAACTCAGTACAACCACAAGCTAGAGAACAAACAGACCAGTATGCAACTATTGAGAAAATAAGAAGACTTGACCCTAACGTTCCAGGAGTTTATGTTAACCTTTCTGGACAAAATGCAGCAGCAGTAACCAAAGTAAAATTGAAACTTAGAGTTCCTTTGTCATCTTTCCTCATCTTCAGGTTTTTAAGATACTTGCCAAACTGGGCAGGAAAAATTTCTATCGAACTTACTCCAAGCAAAAATAACTTAGTCATTGCACCAACACAAGACCCATTCACTCTTACAGACGTAAAGGGAGCAAATCAAACGTCATTCGCCGATTTTGCAAAGACAAAGTTGACTTAGACTTTGGTTTCTCAAACCTCAACACTGAAGTAAACTACTACTTCAATGCTGCTGGAACTGCTTGGGACCCAGTTAAGTTCACATGCGAAAAGTTTGAATGCAAGAGAATAGAAAGCAGACTTGCAGTCTATATGTTGGACCCAGATATTTCAAATGCTTTAGCTGCCAAATATATTGCAGTTCCACTTATGTTCCCTATACACCAAATATCTGTCAAAGACTTTGCAGGTGAAGTTGGAAACCAAAGTGCTGACCCAGGTGCAAGAACAGATATTGCTTTGACAACTGCAATGAAACATGCAGATACTATGTTTGTACTGTTCAGACGAACTATAAATGACTATTCTTGTTTCTACAACCCTGGTATTAAATACCATATAAACATAGATGGCAAATACTATCCAAGAGAAGAATATTCTACAGTTGAGGATATGAGGTCATACAACTTGACATTAGATGCTATGAACTTTAACAACAACTTCACAACAACCATTAACCCTGAAATGCAAAGTTCTATTATGCCATATGTGAAAGTATGGACCATACAGGAGCTCAAAACACTCAATATACAAATGGAGACCGTTCAAACTTTTGGCTTGGCATTCCATTTGCTGACTCAGAAGACTTTATGGGTGGTATTTCAACTGTTGGTACAGTTCAAATACAATATACTGGTGACAGAGACGGTCCAAATGAATTGAAAGCAAAGAAGTTTACAAAACCAATAGCACTTTTCACGGAAGATGCTCTTTTGAAATTCGTTCGATGAAACCTGCTGGGGCTCCTCAGATTGGTATAACGACAGCTTCCATCGAGCAGATTTTGGCAGCAGGTCAGTAAGTTGTTCTTGAACTGACTTCTCTCCGTCAAATATTGACAGTACGCCAGTTTTGATATAATATTGTATTAAAAACTTTCCTTTAGAAATATCGGTCAGTTTTGTTGTTATATTTTTGTCTGCTTCAAGAACTTTCACCATCTCGGTTATACCAACTTTCTTTGCTTTATGAAAATATTTTGGTTCAGCAAAGACTGCTATTCTATAACATTTTCCATTGTTTGTGTAAAGAACTATTCTGTCAATGTATTTGTATTGTTTGTGTGTGTAAACTTTGTTCTGCTTCAATTCGAAGAGATACTCGAATACGTCCATATTTTTATTCGAAGTAAAATGTCATTTCCGAAAAATAGAAGCGTAAGTGTTTCAAAAGGTTTAATGGCGGTGGCAGATGTGAAGTTAAATTCACCAACTCAAACAAACAGTCAAAGTGTTGTTGTCAATGTCAAAGAAAGAGATGTTGAAGTGGGGAAACCATACGAAGACGAAGATGGTATAACAATAGTTCCTGTAAAAGAACAACCAACATACCCTGAAGTTAGCAGAGACTTAAGTTCTGTTGCAGATATTCGAACTGACTACATGCAACTGAAAGATAAGCTTAAAACTCAGGAGAAGATTTGTCAAGCTTTAGGTCTAATGTTAAACTTGGTTGAGCACAACCCTGTAAAAGTGAACTCATATGTCATCGCACCTCATGAAGTTTTGAAAGAACTATTGAAACTTTTGACAGAGGCAGACGATATAAACATCAAAGAAATAGAACCCGACATTGCTTGCTGTGGTGTTTCATATAATGTCATTGACAAGATATACGTTATGAAAGGAGTGAAACGTTGAACTTAAAATATAGTTTCCCAGACGTCATAAAAATATTTGACGACCACAACATTCATTAAAATTTAGTTGCTAAGTAAAAATGGCAGAAGACATAGTGGTTTATACTATTACGACTAAAAACCCGAGTCATATAATTCTATAACAACAAACTTACAAAGTCCTCAAGGACGTATTGTAAACTAACCTTAAACACAATGACGACTAAAGCCTGTTTTGCTCTTTTGACACCAGAAGACTTTGTTGTTGTGAATGGTAAAAAATACTTCTTTGAAGATACTTACTCAGATATACCACCAACAGGTTTGTTGACTTATTTAATACTTTAAGGACGGATGTAACATGTGCTGCAACTAGAGCAGGTTTCATTATGTTTGGATGTCCGACTGAGTTTACTATAAACGATATGAGCTATAATACAAACTTATATCTGGTTTTTACTACCAACATTTCCTATAACAGGAAAAGTGTCATACAAGGTCTATCTGTTCCATTGACTTTAAGTACACCTATTTTATATATTGTTTTCAAACTTAGGTTCAAAGTGCTATTCGAATGTCGACAGAAACTACTATGACCAAAAGATACTCATGCGTATAAACAACACTTTCTCTGCTGGTTTGCCTATTGTTCATTCGAATGCAGAGTTTTCAGCTTTAGTAAACTCAAACACTTTAGCAAACATAAACTTAACCTTAGTTGACGCAAACTTTGTTCCTGTAAAACTTTTATGTCCTATGTATTTGTCAATGACGGCAGAAAGTTTCGAATTGGAAGATGCAACTGGTGAAAGTATTGTACTACAAGAACAACTTCAACAACAAATAGCTCAAGAACAACAAATGCAACAAATGGAACAAATGCAACAACAAAGTCAAGAATAAAAAAATATTATTTTTTTTATTTTTATAAAATGTACAGAATAGATGTTTCAGATTTTTATGACTTCCAAGCCTTCAGAAATATGTGTCCATTTAGAGACTATAACAAAGCAGTCGAGAATTTGAAACGTTTAGTCATTTATGTTGACTCTGCCCCAGAATGTTATGTCATGAAAGAATGGGATGTTGTCTTTAACAAACCAAGAGCAACAATAGTTTCAGAACAAGAATGTAGACAGAAACTTAAGAAAATAAAAGTCGTACAAGTTGGCATGAAGATGTTAGATGCTTGGGATATCTTATTGTCAAAGTTAGAAGATTTTTCAGTTCGAGGTATAAAGTTCTATACACCTTCTCCAAACTTCTATTCTATCTTCACTGGATATAAATACGAACAAGTAGAATGGAAAGAAAATATTATAGAAGCTTGGTTAGACCATGTCAAAGAAATTATATGCAATGGAAACGAAAGAGTCTATGAGTATATCTTATGTTGGTTTGCAAACATCTTACAACATCCAAGTGCTAAAAATGAAACTGCTCTCATTATAATTGGAAAACAAGGAACTGGTAAGAACACATTCTTTACAGATATATTTTGTGCAAACTGTTAGAGGGCTATTCGAATCCGAATATGACAAACTTAGAAAACATCTGCGGTAAATTTAACTCTTCAATAGAGAATATGAAACTTATAGTATGTAACGAACTTCAAAGTATAGATACAACAAAAGGTTTTAAACTCAGATGCTTTGAAGAGTCTTATAACAGACAAAGTTGGAGTTGTTGAAAGAAAATATAAAGACCAAAGAGTTTGTGAAAATGTTGCAAACTTCATTATGGTTTCAAACAATGTTGTTCCGATGAAGTTAGAAAGTTCTGACAGAAGATATGTAGTTGTCAGAACGTCAGATTCTCATATGCAAGATACAGAATATTTTGACGACTTAGCAGAAACTTTGACACCTAACTTTTACAACCACTTGTTCTCATATTTCATGACATTAGATATTTCAAAGTTCAATCCAAGACAAATTCCACATACCGAAGAGAGACAAACATTGTTAGAAGCAAACAAGAGTGTATATGAACTGTTTATAGATGAGACTAACTTTGAGTGTTTAGATGAAAGGTCATTGTACGACTCGTATAAACAGTATTGTCAAGAATATGGTTATATGGCAGCTTCTAAACGTACATTCTTGGCAAATGTCAAAAGTCTTTTAGATGTTCAGAATGGTGTATATACAAAGAAAAATTTTTATGAGTAAATTTAAAAAAAAATATTTTTTTTATTTTATTTGAAATGTACGCTGAGTTTGTTGGAAAAGACCGTTGGGAAACTTGTTTGTTAGATGAGAAATATGAAATTCACTGTTGTGAGTCATTTGAAGTCAGAAACAAAGAGACAAAAAGAGTTTTAAGCGGATGGGAGGGAAATAAAGGATATGCTATTATGAGGATGAGTGGGAAACGCTATTTTAAACATGTTGTCATTGCAACTCATTTTATACCGAACCCTAACAATTTACCTTTTGTAGACCATATAAACCGTATAAGAAACGACAATAGACTTGAGAACTTACGTTGGGTTACTCGTTCTGAAAACAATAAGAACAGAGGCAAATTTGGAGATATAGTATTCGAATTTGTCGACGAACTAGAAGATGAAGCAATTGAAATTACAGACTATGGTAAGCATACGTTTGAGTTTTACTACTATAGCGAAGAACAAGACTCTTTCTACTTTTATACCGGTGTAAACTATAGAAAATTACAAGTATATTTTACTAAGGCGGACTATGCTTATGTAAACGCTAGAGATACAGATGGAAAATACGTTCAAATACTTCTTAACAAATTCAAGAAGCTATATGGCATACCATTTTAAAACGTTTTTTATAAAAAATATTTTTTTATCCGATAGAAAAGATGACGAAATATATTTCAGTCAACAAGTACATGACAGAAGTCAAAGAAGAACTAGACCCATTCGCTTATTTGAATGTTTACTTCTACCATTTTGAAAAGTCTTCATTCAGCAAAGTTTGGAACATCGAACCAGTTAAGTTTGCTATTGTGACTAAAAATGGTGCGAAATTTGAAGACTTAGACATAGAAGGTTTGTTAGCAGTCAAAGAAAGTTTTGACAGAAGGTTTTCAAACCTTAAAGAAGGCAAAGCATACAAACTTGTTATACCTTATGAACCAAAGAAAGCAGACGACTATGAATATTATGAGTCTAAGATAGTTGAAGTTCAAGGTAAATTGGGTAAAAAGATTTTAGAGTCTAAGCCAGTGTTTACTCCTAAAGAGGAAGAGAACATTGACATTGACCCAGAAATGTTCTAAAAATAAAATTTTATTTTTACATGTCAAATTTCTTTTTCTCTGGAACTGTTCAGGTTCTTTTTTCTCTTCTTCTACTTTCTTTTCTTTCTTTTCTCTTCTTCTTCTTCTCTGGTGGAGTTATGTCAAATTTGGCGCAACCATATTTATGTAAAAGTTCTTTGTCCTTTAATAGCTCTTCTATTCTGTTCCTATTTCATCTTCAAGAACAGCGCATGTGTCTTCTTTGCATTCTAAGAACTTTTGTTGGACTTCATCTTTCCAATCGGCGTCATCTCTGTCAACAAGTCTGTCATTGACAAACTTAAAGACTTCTCTGCTTAATGTTTTATGGTTCTTGTCATATTCCCAGAAACAGAACTTTAGAACAAATTCACCTTTCTTGTTTACACTATGTAAGATTTTATGGTCGACAGATTTTTGCTGTCGAAAAGTTTGTCTCGAATATAGATAGCGAAATCGCTAGACATTTTCAAAAGATAAAAATTTTAATTTTTCTAAAAATATGTTAGAAAAAAGTTTGCTGACATTGACAAGAAATTTGAGAATGTTTTAAACAAGAACAAGAGGAAGTTAGAAAATGCTCAGATAAAACCCATACATGAAAAGTTCTTATTTGCTCAGAATGGTATAACAGGTCTAATCGCACCACCTGGGTCGGGTAAGACTTTCACTTATCTTAAAATGGCTGCACAACAACAAGAACTAGATGAGAAAACCCATTCTATGAGTTAGTTGTTATTTGTAGTACTTCTGGTCAATTTGACCAAACCGTCAATTCGTTCAAAGATATTATAAAGAAGTCTAAGTTAGTATGTATAAAGGATACTGAGTTGTTAGATTGGATAAAGAAGTACCAAAGAAGAGTTTTGAAGTATAATGCTATAAATGAGTATATAAATTCGAAGTTTAAAGACCCAAATGAGGAAATGCAGAGAATATTAGAGAAGAAACACTTCAGAAACAAACAGAAAGAGATAGAATACATTTCGAAGAAATTGCAATCTTACGATTGGAAACGTACCCTCATAGATGTCTTCTTATCTTAGATGACTTTGCTTCTCATCCTTTGTTAAAGAACAGAGAACAAGATATGTGTCGAATTCTTAAGAAGCTCAGACACTTTAACATCTCAGTCGTAATATGTGTACAGACAGCAAAGAGTTTAAGTAAGGATGTTAAAAGAATACTTACTGACATTATACTTTTCCCTGGATTGTCCGAAGACGATTTCATGGAACTTATGAAAGAGTCCATGGCAGGTAAGTTTGACAGACATGAACTATGGGAGAAGTACAAAGTCATACAAGACCCTCATACTTCTTTCAGAATTCACATCTACGCGAACAAAGTTCAAATTGTAAAAAGTCAAGCGTAAAAAATAAAGAGTTTTGGCGACCAGGTTTTTTCATTACTCGCTGTTCTTCACGATTTTCCGAGGGAAGCAAGCATATGAGGAAATTCATGAAATTTCATACGGAATTCAATAAAAATAATGTTTAGGTGAAGAGGTGAGATTTCACCTCTTTTTTCACCTCTTTTTTTCACCTCAGTTATTTTATAAGCGTTTCACATGGTAAACGTTATTTTTTAAATTTTGTGAAAACTCAACGGTTTGACACAAGCCCTAAAAATTATTTTACTCAGAATTTTGTTGCTGAATTCAATAAAAATAATGTTTAGGTGAAGAGGTGAGATTTCACCTCTTTTTTCACCTCTTTTTTCACCTGTTATTTTATAAGCGTTTTACATGAATTGTATGATGTATATTTGAAATCCTAAACAATTTCGTAGCTTCTATTTCTTCTTTTAGTACATCGAATGTTTTAACTATGCCGAAGGTTTCTTTATACTTCTTCTTGACATCTGAAAGAAGGAAATCTTCTGCTGTTGGATAGTTTTTGTTCAGAAATGCTAACATGTCCATTTTATCTTCTGCTGGTTTCTCTGCTTCTTTCTTTAAGTCAGCATAGTCGTTTCGCATACGTTCTATCTCTTTGACGGAGTAGTTATATTTCCTCATTGCTGCTTTACATTTAGAACATTGTGGGTTCATTTTTGCGTTATATTCTGAAACCTTACCTGCTAGTATGACTAAGGCGTCAATTGCTCTCTTTAACTCAAAAGTTGCGGGTTTTATTTGTTCGTTCCATACCTTACCTCTTCTATCTTTATCTCTTATCTGCCATACACATTTTGCAACTAACGAAACAAAGTTGTCGTAGGTCTTAAACTCCCCAGATTTGTATATGTCAGAGATGTTCTTATATACCATATCGCAATCTTTGTCCATGACTTTGTGGTTGCAATGAAATCCAAGAAACTCATAGTTTACCTTTCGTATGAACTTCTTTATTTCTACTGAGTCAGTTGCTTTGACTTCAATTTCGTCGAATTCTGGAATAGTAAGCTTTTGTTGTTGGATTTCAGGCAATTTGGGTAAATGGTCAATAATGTCCTGCATTTCATAAAGATACTGTTCATTTGTTTCATCTTTCGCACTACAGTCTAAATTATTTGTTAAAAGTTCTTGCTTTATCTTCTGGATTTCTGTTTCGAAAGTATATGAAGAAGGAATGAAGCTTTTCATCTCTACTAACATAGAAGTTGGGTTCATGACTAACGAGTTTGGTGCTGTTGTTGCTAACATGTTCTTACAATAAAAATAAAAAAATATTTTTTTAAAAAAACCAACTTTATTTTTTATTTCGGGAAAATTCAAGAGGGTGAAAAAACAGGTGAAAAAAGAGGTGAAATCTCACCTCTTCACCTAAACATTATTTTTGCTGAATTCAGCAACAAAATTCAAATTGTAAAAAGTCAAGCTTGAAAAATCTAAGTGTTTAGTCTTAGTAAGATGGTAGCTTCTTAAAGCAAATACCATTGCTGAGTTTTATGTACGTGAAGAGAAGTACAATGAATTCAATTACGAGTACAATTGCAATGACAACTAAGGCAACTATTTTTGTCTTTTGCCAGCAAGGGTACTTCTTCTCTTCCAATGGTTCGGCAGAACTATACTCACTCATGAGAAATGCCAAAACGGTTTAATAGAAAAAGTGTTATTTTTTTCATGTCCGAAGACTCGAAGGTGCAACACTTCCAAAATACCGACGAACTCAGAAGAGCAGCATGGCAGTATGTTCTTGACAACTTCTTTGAGTTCTCCAGGTACACCTTGGAAAATGCTGAAGAACTCCGACACAGAGAATTTGGAGAAATTGCACTCCAATACTACCTTGACAAACAAAGGGTAAACAAAGGGTAAAATAAGACTAAAAACTTAACGTTTAAAAAGTGACATTTTTATGAGCTCCGAGTCACCGAGAAAACTTGGTCAGATGTTAGCAGCTTACTTCCCTGAGGAGGATGGAAGCGTTACATACGTAAGGTTCAAAAACAACGAACCTGGAATTGCGTACCAAATTCGCAATTACATGACCATGGAAGAGTACGAAAGGTTCCTACAAGAGAAACCAGCTCTAAACAACTCAGAAAAGAAAGAATAAAAAGTTTAACTCGTAATTGTTTATTTTTTTACTTGTATGGGCAAGCTGCAAGAATGAAGTCGACTATCTCAGTCTTTGTCTTGACCAGTTGGACTGCTCTTGCGAGTACGTCTGTTTTGCGGTCTCCAGCTGGTGTCTGACCTTCGTAATTGCGCATGTTCTTGAGAGCTCCAGTTGTAAATGATTGTAGGATGAAGAGTCTCTCAGACTGCTTGAGGTAGTCTTCACGGTCACGAACCGAATCTGTGGTACGAGTCGAATCGGTCGATTTGAGGGAAGAGACTGAAAGCCTGTCGTCTTCCATTGGAGCTGTAGCATACTCTTTGCGTAAGCGGTTCAGACCTTCTTCGAAGTCTTGGTCTCTCTTGGACTGAGATTGGAATTGGAATTGCTGGGGTGGAGCTTGCTGGAAC